TGGGGACGCCCAGACTTCTTCCACTTCATCCTCTTCGCTTCTGTTCGGGCGGCGATCGGTCCGGGATTCGTGAGACTCCATGATCACCGTGGCTTTCCCACGAGCCGTCGCGTCGGCAACCATGTTCCGGGCAACTTCGTCACTGCCCTCGGTTAGATCCAGCTCCACAGGCGCCGTGGTATCCGCCTCATCGTGGTTCGTGCTTCGGGCACTTGTATTTCGCTTTCGGGGATCGGCGTCGGTTGTCCGCTTTCTTTGAGGCCCAGTGCGGAGTCCTCGCCATGGGCTCCTCCACGGTGATTGCTTGAGCGCTTTGTCCCGCCGTTGTTGGTAAGGACGTTCCGCACCCAAATAGTAGTCGGTCGGGCTTTCGGTGGACGCCGATCTAATACATTCGAGACAAATTCGAAGATAATAGCATCCAATGCAAAACGCGCAGCTTACATCAAAAAGTATAGATACTTACGGTTTGACTTGCGAAAGGATGTGGCGAACGCGTCTCTCGACCGCCCTGCTCCGCTTTTTCTCGCAGTGTCCACTGGGCTTGTGCAACCTCCGATGCACGGCGTCGGAGTATGATGCGGCATGTTCCCTTCGCTCGTGCTCGTATGCAAAGAACCACCGCACGCACGGAGGAGCCACCTCGCCCGACGGTCCCACCTTTTTCCTCTTTCGGGGACGAGCCGGAGGATGTCCGCATCCTCTGCTTCGTCGTCCGGCTGTGGGAAGATGGCTTGACGTCGTTCTGGCGGCAGCCGGACGCTTGCTGCCGCTCTGGTCGGCGCCCTCACGGTCTCGAAAACCGCCAATGAAACGTCGCTTGGTCCGGTCGCCGGTTGGTAAAGGGCGGTGGCCCGATAGCTTATGGCCATTCTACACCGGGGAGGCGACACAAACACTCCCGCCTTGGTCACGACCATTACATCGAGACACAAAATGAAGTAAAAGATGCTTATTTTCTTGATGCGACATGATTCTACGATTAAAAGGTGGCGTCATTTACCTTTGGGGAGGGCGAGCCACTTTGAAGGCGTGTTCGATGGCGTCGAAGCAACATAATTGGGATCGGCCAGGTTGAATAGCTCTCCAATCCTGGCCTTGATTTCCACCTTGTCGAGCGGCTCCTTCCTGGTCCTCGTCGGATCAGCGCCTCCTTGGTACTCGTAGCCGGGGTGAATCCTTTTCTGGCAGGGCTGGATTCTTCGGCTGATGAAGTTGCCGACAACGCTTGGGCCATCAAGCCTTCCCCACGGATCATCCCGAGCAGTTCGGCGATCTGCTCCAAGTTCTCGAGCTTCTCAACCACCGCTTTTCTTCTCTGAATCAGTCCCACATCGCACAGAGTGATGGTGTTCGGCTCTTCACGGATGTAGAACCATTTCTTGTACCACTCGTCCAGGAGGAGGTGTTCGAGGCGGTCACGGTATTGAGCCTTCATGCCACACGCAGTTCAAGTAAACGCCACCGGCGATCTTGAGCCACCGCTCCCTTTCTTCCAAGATGCAGAATAGGTGGCGAAAGAGGTCGAAATAGGGCCGAAGCCACCATAAGCCTCGCAGAGATGGATGAAGGTGGAGACAAGAAGAATCGAGTTGGGATGCGATTGCAAATCCCAATCTCGTAGTACAAGCAGAGACCACGAAGGAAAGGGTGCACTTGGAATCCCAAAACCCCGCTTTGAAGAAATCTTCAAAGACCACAATCTCACCTGTTGTGGATCGGGAAGCTTTCTCCTACCGGTGCACGCCATCCCGTAAGTGCCTTGTTGTGGAGCACCCCATGGCGACGAGGTCCTCGATGGTGCCGCTTTCGTTGCTCATGATTTCCACCATTCCTTCGCCATGACCACCTTTTTTCTTCTGGGCGTCTCTCTTCGCCATTAGGTCGTGCTTACTAAGTGGGTGGATGCAGAGACCGAGGGATTGGTGATGATTTTTGGGGCAATAGGGTTCGCGGGAGGAAGAAGAAGGTTGCGCGGCGGATGACAATGGGGAACGGTATGAGTAGCTTACGGATCTGCATTATATAAAAAACAACGAGCACCGTCGTTTCGTCATCTTACCGAGAATATTGGGAGTCATGCTTGCCAGCGCCGCAGAGGGTTGTTCACACAACCTCAAAATCTGCGCCAATAAACGCGCTTACTTCATTAACGATGTACGCGCCTTCTCGTTGATTTGTGTAAGGAGGCCCACACCGACACACCTCAATACAGTGTCAACCAACTGCTTGCAAAAAAAAAAATACGTAATGACGTATTCCTATTGACTTTTTGACCGAGACGTGTCGACCGGTCTTGGCGGAGAATAGAGAAAAGTACACAAAATAATAGTACAAGCGGCGCAAGTGATCGTGGATTTGTTTTGACCACTACATGCTTGGATACTTTGCCCTGCACCACTAATGTGCTCGGGGACCGCATGCACCACTCACTGTGCTTGGATACTTGCCAGCACCACTTTTTGTGCTCGGGGATCGCCTCGACCCACGGCAGTGCTCGGGACCCGCCCACCACCGCTTGAATAATGGTTCTCCTTGGCTACATGTGATTTGTACTCACATACGCTTAAGAGACTTTTTCTTTTAGACCTTGCTACAAGGCTCATACTTCGCTTTCCAAAGCCAAGCTTTGGGACTACATCGGACGATGCACCCGCCGGCAGTGCATCTTGTATCGCTTTGTCGGCAATTGGATTCTTAACCTCGGTGAATTTCTTTTAGACCACGGCACCACGTGCTGCGTCACTTACTACCGTGCTCGGGGACTAAGTGGGCACACTTCACCTTATGGTGAATGTGTTTGATTAAATTGACCCTTGTGTTTTGAATGGTTATGAGGATTATTAGTATGCTCAAGGACCCGCCCGACCACTTTTGAATAATGGTTCTCCTTGGCTACATGTGATTTGTACTCACATACGCCTTCAGAGACTTTTCTTTTAGACCTTGCTACAAGGCTCATACTTTGCCTTCCAAAGAAGCTCGGGGACTAAGTGGGCACACTTCACCTTGCGTGAATGTGTTTATTTTTTGACCCCTACGCTTCGATGTTTAAGGATGCTATAGCTTGGGACCACTTACATTTCTTTTCGAAATACAAGTGGGCACACTTCTCGTGATGTAAATCTTTTTTTTTTTTCTTAAGAGCACCATACATTCTTGGATAACCTACTTCTCCGGTGATGACGGTGGTCGGGCGTCAAGAATTCAAGCCTTGCTTGTCGGAGAAGGTTAAAATGCGGTGCATGACATAATACATGATGCTCGGGACTAGGCGTGGGGGTATTAACCCCTATACCCTTACGGCTAAGCTTGGGTTGGCTCGGATCGATAGGTTCATCCACCGAAAGATGACGTCTTGACCCGCTTAACTTTGATCGAGTCCCGCACAAGGAATCAAGACGGATTTGGCGACCAAGCGGGATCCTGATCGATTAGAATAGGAATCCTTATCCGCCACATATGGCAATTGTAACCGACTAGGATTAGTTTCAGATCGTAACCTCCCCCCGGACTATATAAAGGCGGCGCGGGGACCCCTCTAAAATCATCTCTCATTGACATACAAAGAATACAAATCGACGCAGGATTTAGGTATTACGCCTTCTTGGCGGCCGAACCTGGATAAAACCTCGTGTCTGTCTTGCGTCACCGTCTTGTTTGGGACTTGCGCACCTGTCTGCCGATAATCTATTACCTTGGGCATACCCCTAGGTAGACTGCCGACCATATTTCGTCGACAGATTTCAACTACTAGTACGGTGACCCATTTTTGCAAAAGAGTGTACGAGTAATTCCCATTAGAATTCCGGGATAAATCGCGTTCAGTAGCAGAGGGCATGTTCTTGCGAATAGAGACATCACCGGGAGGTAGGCATTACAGCATCTCTAGCACGGCCTCAAACAAGATAGGACGAGCCCTGAAATCTGAGGTCCTGATTTGAAGGTTTCTATTGGAGTTGCTCTTGGAGCAATGGTGTGATGAGTTTGGCTTCTAACATCCATCTTGAACAATCCAAAATGGCAGAAAGTAAGTGTGACTCAACTGTTTAGGTAAGAGGTACGATCATGCACCTATTCATCTAGGTTGAAGTTTTCCCTGGGCTTGAATTTCGATGTCTATTTATCTTCTTAATTAATGAAAAACCGTCTAATTTCTCTTAGGTCCATTTGGATCCTTAAAATTAAATTCATTTTAATAATCATAATTTAGACACATATTGATTAAGCTGATATGATTGTTTATCGATTATATTTGTATATTATTGTTCGTTATACGAGAAAGATACTTATGTGTTGTATTTCTACCGTAGAGGAGCGAGTTAGAGAGCGTGTTATAAGTTGCAAAGTAGAAACATAGCATGGTGATCCCGCCCTGTGATTTTGAGATAAGCTTATATATGAACTTTGGAAAGTGGTGAAAAGTTAAATTCTAAACTAAATAGCCTAGTCTATTTAGTAAATATTAATTCTTCTAAATGAAAGGATGCAAACGGCACTTGGATCTCATTTTTTTAGTAATCCAAAATGGCTAAGGAACCAGGATATGGTCTCTGTCTACACACAGCCACACAGATGATGCTTTCCACTTCTTTTCGCATTTGACGCCCAGAACTCGGCATTTCTTAGCCAAAAAATTTCAATCAAAAGGCAGTATAATACTAAAATCGATCACACCCAACATCCGGCCCAAGTGGCCTAGCAGCCCAGAACTCGCTGAGCAGGAACGATCGCACAAGTGGCCGAAGCCGAACCCGCTCCAGGCCGATTTATCGACGCGCACCTGCACGGGCCGCACAGGTTGATTGCTACCCTAATACGGAGCGAGCGACTAACCATTAACCAACACCGTCGGCCACTAGCATGAATCCGCGGCACCGGGAAGTCCGGCACCACCACGCTGCGGTTCCGCAGACCGCCGGCAGGCGAAAGCTTCATCAGTGATCGGTGCCTGTTGGCTTCGAGGGAGGCCGGAGGCCCCAATAAGGACCGGGCTTGACATGAGCCGCGTCGTCTCCGCGCGCCGCGCCGCCCGCCACGGCTGCCGCCTCTACTCCTCCTCGGCGTCGGAGGTGTGGGACGGTCCGTTCTTCCGGCTGCAGAAGCGGCGGGGGCAGCACCTTCACACCAACCCGCGCGTCCTCGACGCCATCGTGCGCCGTGCCGCGATCCGCCCGGGCGACGCCATCCTCGAGGTCGGCCCCGGCACGGGCAACCTCACCGTGCGCCTCCTCGCCTCCCCTGCTGCCTCCGTCGCAGCCGTCGAGATCGACCCGCGCACAAGCTCACGGTTCCGCCCGCGCGCCCTCCTCCCAACTCCCATTCGATCGATCCAATGCCCCGAAAGGAAAAACGCCGATGATCATAACCAAATGACGAGTTTTTAGTTTTCCGTTGCCAGGTGACCACGGGCGACGCCATGAAGGTCGACTTCCCGGAGTTCGACGTCTGCGTGTCCAACATCCCCTACGCGATCTCCTCGCCGCTAACCGCCAAGCTGCTGTTCGGCTCCTACCGGTTCCGGACGGCCACGGGGAGCACAACCACCTGGCGACCAACGTGCGCCTGGTAGCGGACGTGAGCCTGCTCATGGACGTGAGCAAGGCCGACTTCGTGCCCGTGCCCGGGGTGGACTCCACCCTCGTTGAGATCCGGATGAAGGAGGTCCGGCCGACGGAGGTGGAGCCGGGGATCAGCCTCGACGAGTGGCTCGAGTTCACGCGCGCGTGTTTCGGACAGCACCAGCTGCAGGAGCAGAAGAAGAAAAAGAAGAAAGAGAAGAACCTAGGCACCATCTTCAAGCAGAAAGAGATGGTCATGGACCTCTTCAGGCTATCTCGAATAGATGAGGAACGCATCGGCAATGCCAGTAGCAGCGGCCGTGGTGCGCCTCGTGACGAATATGATGCCGATGATCGCGAAAATGATGAACATCCCTGCAATGGAGAAGGTGGTTTCAGCAAGGAAGAGTTCGTGGTGTTCAAGGAGAGGATTGCTGGAACATTGCAGTCGGCCAGGCTCAACAACGAAAGGCCATCGATGTTGTCCAACGAGGACATGATGAGGTTGCTCCGCTTGTTCATCAAACGGGGGGTGCGGTTCCATTAGAGCACAACCTCCCTTGTACTGCACTGAACAGTCTCATAAATGTTTGCATCGCTGCTCGATATATCACTCCCCGTTCCCGGGAAAAAAAATCCGCTAACATGTTCAAGCATGTTTTTCATTAATATAAAAAGGAAAGAAGAGTTACACCATGTTTTTGGAAAAAATATTAGGTACTCTTGAAGATGCTCTTACTAAAACCAACACAATCTTGGCAAAATTAGTCTCACAAAATTCACAATTAAGCAATTACATATAAACAACTTGCGACCGAACCATTATCAACTCTAAGAGAAGCAGCAACGTAGCGAACTAGCAGCATAATTAGCACTAAAGGTGACACCTCTAGACAACCAAGACCTCATGAAGCTCCCTAATTAAAAGTGAGCAACTCATTGACGTCTAGTAAAGGTGTCCGACAATTGAGGCGGTGATATGGAGAGGGCAATTAGAAAAGGGCCTTTAGAGCATCTCCAAGACTCTTTATATCTTTCCTGATTTACCGGAATAGAGATTTTAGTGAAAAAAGTACTCTCCGGCAGTCTCTTCAATTGGATATTCAGATATAGACCTCCTCTATTCTGGATTTCTCGCTATCCAAAGATGGAGAGTGGGGATGGCTCTTTAGACTACGCACACGATATAGAAAAAAAAAGCTGTTGGAGAGTACAAAGATATAGAAAATGACTCTCTAAATGATGATTTAGATAGTAGAATTTAGAATGGCTCTTGGAGATGCTCTCTAGGCAAGTCATATAGAGCAACGACCAAAGGAGCCTTTGCCGCCATCTCAAGGCCGGACAACAGTGACATTGGATCATCAAAAGGTAGAACCTCATCATCAAAAAGATTTTTTTCCGTCCTGTGACAACTCAAGACGAGACATCACATATTTTGTGATTTCCAATTAAACTCCAGGCGACAAGGGCTCCACCCCTCGAAATAGAAACAACATTGGCCCCAGGCTCATCATCTTCCACTACTACTAAAAACTTAACCAAGGCGGGCAAAAGTGATTAACCGAGGCAGGCATCGCAACCGCCTCGGTCAAAAGGTTACGGTAAATGGATCTTTCCCGATGTGGTTGAAATGTCCGCCTCGGTTAATCAAATAAAAAACAAAAAGAGAAAAATCCATGGACAGGCCCGCCGAGCCCATCCACGCACCGCCGCTCGCTGTCGCCGTAGCTCGTCAAATCCAGCCTTCCCAGCCACCGGATCTGGCCTCCCAGCCACCAGATCCGGCCTCCCAGCGCTGGAGCTGATGAAGAGGTGAAGGAGGAGCGCCGCCACCGCCGCCGCCGCCGCCCCGCATCACCCGTGCCGCCGCCGCCTCGCCTGCTCCCTGATTCGGCCTCCCAGCCACCGGATCCGACCTCCCCGCAACCGGATCCGGCCTCCTCGCCCGCGCCATCGGATCTGGGATCCGGGAGAGGCCTAAGTGAGAGAGGGAGGGGAGAGGGGCGCCGGGCCGGAGGGGAGGAGGGGCGCCGTCGCCGGAAGAGGAGGAGGCGACCGCGCGCGCCCCGCCGGAGGGAGGGGGCTGATGGGTGAGAGAGAAGTGTGTGTAGTGGGCTAGGGTTTCGCTTCTATATATACTCTGACCTTCTAGCCGGGTCGAAGTGGGCTGCCCCAACCTTTACTGGCTCGGCGGGGATTAACAGAAAATGGAGACATTTTTGGAGTCGGGCCACTTATAAGCCCGCCTCCGTAAATATATTTTAGGAAGTGGTTAATTGTGACCGCCTTGGTTAATAGAAAATGACCGCCTCAGTTAATCCCAGGCATTAACCGAGGCGGTCAACCAGCCTGCCCGCCTCGGAGGGCCTAAACCAAATGCCTTGTGAAAGTTTTTCTGTAGTAGTGTTTGCTGTCAGTGATTGCGCAACCCAACCCATCTTGAATCAGCACAAACAAAGGTGGAGCAGCAACCGACACTATAGGAAGAACCTCCTCATCGGGAACACAACCATCAACCGGTGGCTGCAAGTAGTGGATCTTGTCTAACAAGAATTCGATGAGCTCAATCTCATTATTAGCGACCTGCAATCCTCAACCATTTGCAGCTCGAAAAAAACTCGACCTGCAGGGGGTAAGCCACCCCAGGCATTGCTGTGATAGAGAAGATATTCTCACACAGGCCGAGAAAACCTCTGAACCCCTGCCCCACCCTGACACAGGGGCACCATTGCCCTGTGAGAACCGGGCCGGGCCTTTTGACATGCACTTTGGCCGAGGAACGAACGAGGGGATTCTTTTAACCCTAGCCTGAATCGCTACTACGGGGAGTCAAACTCAGGACATGAGGAGTGCTACTGAGGCCACCAAACCGATTCAGTTAAGCACCCTTTCGCAGCTCAAAAATGACATCCTCGACGATCGCCAAATAATGCATATCGATTGGGGGTAGCTATCCTCCACCTCTTGTGTAACACCCCTGGTGTTACGACCCTGTTTAGCACTGTGATTTAGGCCTAAGTAAAACTTTTGAAACGATTTTCTCGGATTTTAAAATTTTAAAAATCAGCTTTTCACGTCAACGGTAAAAATCGGAAATTATATTTTAAAGCGTTGTTGTGGCGATTTGTTTTGCGCAAAATAATTACATAATGCTTTAATATTTTGTTTCATGGCTAGGTACGAGTATGAGCTATCGCGTCCGATATTTTTATGCGAGCGGCAGTCGTACCGAGTATTCTGGCAGCAGCGGGTCCTTTTCCTTTTTCCCGCTCTACCTCGCACGCCTGCTTTTCAATGCCTCTATTCGTCTGCCTCTTCCTTATCTCTACGCTGCTGAAAGTTGACCGAACACTCTTGTTATCCTCTGTTTCTATTTTGGTGGCTTGCCTTGCTTGTATTTGTCCGCTCCGTTGCATCGTTCCATAGCAATCAGTGTCTCTGTCTGTCTCAGTGTTCGGCCAAGCGAAGTTGTCTCGTTCCTGCCTCTGCTGCTCGGGTCTTATCCTTGCTTACCTCATCTCTGCGTCCCCCGGTCTTGTCCATGCCTAATCCTACCGGCCACACTTAGGCCAAATCAGTCCTCGCCGTGTCTGGTCCGCGGTCGCTAGAGCCCCCAGCGTCGGCCCCTTTTTCCCCTCGTCGCGAGCGCTCCTCCTCCTCCTCTCTCTCTCACGCGCGTTGCTCTTGCCTCCGTCTGCTCCCTCTCTCTACCGAGCATCTGTGGAGGCAACACTCTTGGTGGCCGGCCGTCAGCGTGTGCGCCACGCGTGAAGTCCTCGTGGCCCGCGTTGGATCCTGCCACGGCTCCACCAGCGCCCTCCTCACTTCTCCTCCCGTGTTGTGACCACGCACCACACCGTTGTCGCGCCTCCCTTCGCCGTCGCGGGTGTGCACGAGCACGCGTGCCCCCACAGCCTCACCGGACCTCCGTCTCCTCGACGCCCGTGCTCCCTCCACTGGGTTGCGCTGTCCACCCGCACCATCGGCGCCTCCCCTTTTCCCCCACGCGCGCAGGCGCAACCGAGCCGCCATGGCTGCGCCTCCCACCACCGTCATGACCGCACCACCTCCTCGTCTCCACTCCAGCACCGCAGCTGCCAGGGCCTGTCTCCTGGCGCACGCTGCCTGGCCGTGGTGGCCTTGGTCGAGCCTAGGCCACCGGAAGCTCTCGTCGTTCCTTCCGTGCCCGTGCGCCCGGGCCGAGCTCGGTCGGTTTCGCTGCTCTCCTTCTCCTCCGCAGTCAACGCCATGGCCGCGCACATCTCCGCCCCTCTTAGACGCCTTTCGCCTCGGTCGCTCAGGCCGAGCGTCGCCGTGCCTCTTCCCGGTCCCGTCACGACGATCCAGCCGCCGGCCAGCGTTTCCCGTCGGCTCTCTGTTCTTGAGGATGAAGGTAGGGGTAAGAGTCCAAGAAGAAGCATTCTACATGGTCTCATTTGCAAAATACACGACTCCGTTGAATAGTGCCTAGGGATCTTGCGTCGATTAGAGGTTAACGCAGGGGCGTTTTTGCAAAATGGGCCGCCACCGTGCCGCGTTGGGCCACTGCCTACGCTGGGTCGGTCGCCGCTGACCACGTCTGGGACACATGCGCCCCGCCCGCCTGGGCTGCTTTTGCTGCTGGCCAGCACTCGCTGGACCTTTTGGGCCGCGGACTGGCCGTTGGCCGAGCGCCCTGTCCCCGCGCCGCGTTGAGGCCGGCCTGCCGCCCTGTGCCTGGGCCGCATGTGCGCGATAGGCGCTTGGGCCGCGCCTTCTCTGCCTGGGCCGCCAGTCCAGCTAGTTGGGCCGCTAGCCGCTCGCGTCGCCTAGGTCTCAGGCCTACCCGCGCTGCTGGGCCGCTAGTGCCTACGCGCCTGGACTGGATAATGCCCGCGCCCACCTGGGCTGGACTGCCGCCACGTGGGCCACGCGTGGGTTCCCAGCTGAGGGCATTGATTCGCGAATCGTTGGGCGATCCGGTATGGCTTGTCTACGGTTTAGTATCGTAGTAAGAACTGAAAGATGGAAGATGGAAAAGGAACTCTGATTGCTTACCACCTGCTTGAAAGTAGCACAGGTGCTTACATAGAATGGTTAGTTAATGAACCCAATGCGGCTATTCATAAAAATCAATTATAAGGATGCACGCTTAGTAATGCTTCCTGTAGATGCAATAAACCCACAAGCCAGATAGCCTTGCATATCCTTGGAGTCTTTTCTTTCCTTCTGTCGGGTAAGTCTTGCTGAGTACAATTGAGTACTCAGGGTTTCATTCCCCCTGTTGCAGGTGACAGGTGGATGCTAGAGCTGACTCTTGTATGTGGATACCTCCTAGTGGGCTCAGCGAGGATTCCTTTACGCTGCGATCGTAGTTGTTATTTATAACTCTCACCAAATATTTTTATAAATAAAAGTTTAATAATCTGTTGTCATAGATTATATATCAATACTTCACCATATCATTAATAGATGTTTAATTCCGCTGTAATTCTGGTCACATGTTTATATTCCGCTGTTCAATTAAATTGTTATAACTCTGATATATGATTTCATTCCGCTGTTATATTAATAAATATTAGACTCTGATGTTGTATTAAAAGTGATGTAAGAAATGGTTCAGAATGATGTAAGCTTTATTCTCTCGTTTGTGATCCTGATGGCAAAAATGTGGATTTTCAAGTTCTCCCCTGGGGTGTGCCCGACGGAACCGAGTAATTTAGTGTTCTCCCTCTAGTATTTAGTGTCTAATGGAAGACAAGCACTCCTGTGAGGCATTAGATTAGGCGGTTCTGCCACATCTTGCTTCCTCTCCAAAGTATCAAGGCTCGGAGGAGCAACGATGGAGAGAGCGAATCCCTCCTCGACGACCATGGCCACTTGAGTGATGTCGGATGCCTCAACCTCTTCATTAGGTCAACAACCATCAACCAGAGGCTGCAATTCGCGGATCTGGTCCTCCAAGAACTCGACAAGCTCAAGCTCAAGCTCATCATCGGATAGCGGCATGTGAATCTTAGCCATTCGCAACTAAAGGATAACCTCCTCATATGCCGATTGTATTTTGACGGGACCTCCTCCTCTTGTTGCATCTCCAAGAAATAAAGGCACGGGGGAGAAGCGAGGGAGACAAACCCCTCCTCGAATGGGGTTTAGTCTAATTTAAAAATTTACAAACAACGAGACAAGGCGAAGACATTAGACTGACAATATGACCTTAATAAGCACTAGCCAAGACAACACTTGCATTGAGGTATCTTTCTAATGTGTTCTACAGCACATGCATGTAGCATTTGTAGCAAACGTGTGTTCTGTGTATTTTCTTTTTTTCTAACAAGAGAGGATACTTCAGTAGGTTCTTCCGTTGGCTGCCTGTGCCTGCGCCAATGATCCCGCGTATAGGTTACAGCGTATAGGTCTTGGTACCTGCAGAGAGTGTAGAACCTCGCGTCACGCACGAGAGAATAGCCAAACGATCTCCTCGAATCCACGGCCGCACGAGCAGCCAAGCAGCACTGCAGCAGATAGTGCTTCACCGTGGTTGGCGTTGAGCTGAGACATGAAGCGAGCCATATCTGCTCTCTGGGCGCGCCACGCCGTCCGCCAAGCCTACCTCTACACCACCTCCACCGCCGCCACGTCCTCGTCGCCTGAGGTGGGGGCGTCCGCGTCAGAGGCGTGGGACGGGCGTTTTCGGCTCCACAAGCCGCGCGGGCAGCACCTGCTCACCAACCCGCTCATCGTCGACGCCATCGCGCGCCGTGTCGCCATTAGTCCGGGTGACGCCGTCCTCGAGGTCGGCCTCGGCACAGGCAACCTCACCGCGCGCCTCCTCGCATCCCACGCGGCGCGCGTCGCGGCCGTCGAGATCGACCCGCGCATGGTCGAGGCCGTCAGCTCACGGTCCGCCCACACGCCCGCCACTCTCGGCCTCGAGGACAAGCTCATGGTCCGCCCGCACGCCCACCACTCTATCGATAGAATGCCTCAAAAGAAAAATGCTTGCTGACTGAACAACGGTTCCTCCTCCCTCCCGTTTGGCAGGTGATCGCGGGTGATGCCGTCGAGGTAGAGTTCCCGGAGTTCGACGTCTGCGTGGCCAACATCCCCTACGGCATCTCCTCGCCGCTGATCGCCAAGCTGTTGTTTGGCCCCTACTAGTTCCGGACGGCGACGCTACTGCTGTAGAAGGAGTTCGCGCGGCGGCTCGTGGCCACGCCAGGCGACGGGGAGTACAACCGGCTGGCGGCCAACGTGCGCCTGGTCGCCGACGTGAGGCTGCTCATGGACGTGAGCAAGAGGGACTTTGTGCCCATGCCCCGGGTGGACTCATCCCTCATCGAGATCCGGCCACGGGGTTGACGTCAGCGAGTGGCTGGCGTTCACACGCGTGTGTTTCGGGCAGAAGAACAAAACACTCGGCGCCATCTTCAAGTAGAAGAGGATGGTCATGGAGCTGTTCGGACGATCGCAGAGAGCCAAGGGATGTGCCGGTGGTGTCAGCCTCGGTGCGCTTGATAACGACATCAGCGAGGATGATTGTGGGGAAAACGATGATGGCAGCAATAGAGTGGTTGTTGGTTTCAGCGAGGAAGAGGTCGCGGCGTTCAAACAGAGGATTGCCGGAGCGTTGGACACCGCCGAGCTCGCCGGCAAGAGGCCATCGAAGGTATCCAACGACGAGCTGATGCGGTTGCTCTGGCTATTCAACGAGCGCGGGGTGTGGTTCCAGTAGAGCACGGTGAGGTTTGTGTCGCTAGAGTCACGCCACGCCTGGTGCAATGGCTGGTTCCCAGCATGTTGGACGTCATTGTAGACGTGGCGCTACTTGCCTGTCATAATGGCGTCAGCCTTATCCATACCCTGTTCAATGTATTTCCAATTTTCCGTTCTGCTAAGTTAACGATGAGGTTCGATTAAAGATGAGCATCTGGGCCGCCCGGCACGGCCCGATAAGGCACGGCACGGTAAGGCACGACAGGCTGCAGGGCCGTGCCGCCCCAGTCCACCATGCCTGGCCGATGGCCCAGGCATAGCCTATCGAGACACTTTCCATGCCGGGCTGGCTCGGAAAGCACGACCTTTTTAGCAGGCCGGGGTTGGCCCGAGGCCCACCAAATGCTAGCACCCGGTTTCTAAAAAAAACAAACGCCAGCACCTAGTAGCCAAAGAGAGAGGAAGAAGGGAACGTCGGATCTAGCCGTGGGAGGTGGCGATGGTCGCCAGCACGCTCACCCCAAGGCGCTTGGTGGCGGCGAGGAGGAGGAGGAGGTCGACGCCACGCTCGCCCCCAGATCTGGCCGCGGAGGAGGTCGACGCTGCGCTCACCCCAAAATCTAGCCATGGAGGAGGGGGTTGATGCCGCCGCGCTCGAGGTCGGCGCGATGGAGGTGTGGAGGAGGCCGGGCGCACGCCGCATGGAGCCATGGTCGTCTGCCGGCGATGCGGAGGCCATGGGGCGAGGAGTGGAGTGGAGGCGGCCAAACACGCGGGGGTCGTGGAGGAGGCCGCCGCTGCCCGCTGCTGCCGTGCTCAAATCGTGGAATCGCGGCGCATAGGGATGGGTGGGGAGCCAGGGAGCCGCACTGGAGGCCAACGGCGCTAGAGGCGACGTGGGGTCTGAAAGCATCTAGGCCCCTTGTTGGGTTTCGGTGATTAATGACAATACAAGATTACTATAACTAACGTGTGTTTTGTAGAGGCAATTAAGTTAGGTCATGGTAATGGAGATCGATTGGGCAATCATGGATGTCACGCCCCTATGATGGAAATCATTTCGGTTTTCAAAGGATGGACGACAAGGTTAAGGATGACTAGTTCTAAGTGTCGATTGGAGTTGGAGAGACACTTAGAGTAGTTTAGGACTTTGTTTTTCCTTTGGCCGTACTATTAAGGGGGTATGGACAGGTAGCTTGATCTAGGTGAGTCTAGTGAGTTAGGTGTGGTGCACACTTGCTAAGTCTAACACTAGGTAGCTCCAGCAAAGCCCTTAGATCCTTTGGAGCAAACTTCATTCACGTATGATCGAAAGTTGGAAGTGAATGGAGGGTCAAATACTGACCGGACGCTGGCTCCGGTGCGACCGGACGCTGGCCGCAGGGTCCGATCAGTTCATTTGACCAAGGAGATTGTGTCTGGTGTGACCGGACGCTGAGTGGTCGAGTAACCAGACGCTGGGGACCAGCGTCCGGTCGACTCCAGTAAGGTTCCAGAAGAGTGAATCTATGACCGGACGCGTCCGGTCAATTCTGACCGAACCCTGAGGATCCAGCGTCCGGTCGAGTACAGTAAGCATCCAGTGAGAGAAAAATGGGGCCAGACCCTGCCAGCGTCCGGTCAACACTTAAACACTGGTGTGCGGGTTGAACTGACCGGAGCATCCGGTCAGCATGACCGGAGCGTCCGGTCACCCCGCAGAGGCACATAACGGTTCGTTTTTTAGGCAGTCTTATAAATAGAAGCTCCACTCGTGTGTGGAGCCACTTTTGCTCATTTCAATAGCTGAAACACACCTTAGAGAGTGCCAAGAAGAGCAAGGTCCTAGTGAGGTGATTGAGATTTGAGAATCCCAAAGAGAGCCCTCATTAGTGAGATCAAGAGTAGCAAAGTGTGCATCCACCCTTCTCCCTAGGCTTGTCATGGTCAAGTGAGAGTTCGTGCTCGTTACTCTTGGTGATCGCCATCACCTAGACGGCTTGGTGGTGATTGGAGAGCTTGGTGATCATTCGGAGAGCTTGTGGATGACCCAACTCAAGTTGTGAGCGGTTGTGGATGATTCACCGTGATGGAGTATCAAAGAATCAACCTGTAGAGAGCACTTGATCCTTGCGCGGATCAAGGGGGAGCTACACCTTTGCGTGGGTGCTCCAACAAGGACTAGTGGGGAGTGGCGACTCTCCGATACCTCGGCAAAACATCGCCACATTTCCTCTCCTCTCTTTACTTTGAGCATTTCAATTCTTGTCATTTACATTCGTAGAATTGCCATGCTAGAGTAGGATTGGAACTAGGTTGCTAATCTTTTGTGCATTAGATCAATAGAAACACTTCTCTAGGCACAAGGGGTTAATTGGGCTAACCATATGACTTGTTTATTGCGAAGAAATTTAGAATTAGCCTAATTCACCCCCCCCTCTTGGGCATCTTGATCCTTTCAATTGGTATCGGAGCCTTGTGCTCACGTTTTTAAGCTTAACCGCTTAGAGCAAGATGTCTCACGGGGATGGACCTCCTCCTATCTTCGAGGGGATGATTTTCCATATTTGAAAATTCGTATGGAGGCGTACCTAGAAGCTCTAGACGTTGGAATACTTAGAGCCGCCTCACATGGGTTCCCAAGACCTAGGAATCCCGCACAACTTCGAGGCGATAAAGTGAACTATGAAAAATAGAATGCAAAGGCTCGCAACACCATCTTTAGAGGCCTTTGCAAAGATATGTTCAACCGTATAAGGAACCACAAAGACGCCCATACACTATGATCAGACGTTTGTGCGCTCTATGAGGGAACAAAGAGTGAGCGTGAGGAACGCTATCATCTTATCATGAAAAAGCTCAACTCTTTTGAAATGCTTCCTAAAGAATGTGCTAATGAAATGTATTCACGTTTGAATGTTCTTGTAGAGGAAGTGAATGGGCTTGGACTTACTCAAATGTCACCATCCGACGTTGTGAGAAAGATCTTGAGTGCCCTTCCTATTGACAAATATGGGCATATTGTGACCGTGCTACATCAAGGTAATCTTTCCATCGCTACACCAACACAAATCTTGGGGAAGATCAATGCTCATGAGATGTACATGCACATCACACCTCAAGATGGCTCATCCTCTACAAAGAAGAAAGAAAAAGACTTAGCATTCAAAGCTAGCCAAGAGAAGGGCAAAGCAAGGCTTGAGTATAAGAGCTCAAGTGATGATAAAGTTGATGATGAAAGCCTTGCTCTCATGGTGAAGAAAACCGCCAAGATGCTAAAGAAGCTAAACAAGAGTGGCATCAAGTTTGATGGCAAGAAGAAGAAGTTCTTCACAAGCTCAAGAAGAAAGCCAATCTCCGAGATGGATTGCTATAATTTTGGCGAACTTGGTCATCTAGCTCACCAATGCACAAAGCCCAAGAAAGACAAGTTCAAGAACAAGAACAAGGGCAAGAAAGATGACTTAAGCAATGAAGATAAAGATGATAAGAAAAAGAACAAGCCATACAAGAAGAGAGATGGCAAGAAGAGGAACTTCCATAAGAAGAAGAAGAGTGGAAAGGCTTACATCATCGGTGATTGGCTCACGGACATTGATTCATCTAGTGGATTATCCGATGATGATAGTGACGACGAGAAGGTGGCCGCCATTGTTATTGATTCCTCATCATCTTCATCGCCACCACCGCCGTCATCCTCTACACACCTATGCCTTATGGCCAAAGGTGAACGAAAGATATCACATGATGATGATAGTAGTGGTGATGATCATGCTCATAAGGATGATAGTGATAGTGATAGCGATGATGATGAATATGAATCACCTACTTATGATGATCTTGCTAAATTGCTAAACAAATACACTAAGATCATTATAAAGACTAGAGCTAAAAATGAAAAGCTTGAGATTAAGAATGATTCTCTCTTAGCTAAATGTGACATAGCCGAAAATCTAGTGTTGAGCTTAGAGAAGCAAATGAAGCTATGTCATCCAAACTCAAGGAGCTCAAATCTTCTAAGAAAGAGCTTAAAGATAAACATGATAAACTTGAGTGGGTGCACAAAGAGCTCGTCACTAGCCACAACAGGCTAAAGGAAGAATATACCACTCTTAAGATTAATCATGATAATCTTGTTATTGCTCAAGAATTTCTATCCAATGAGTCACATGATGCTACTAACCATGTTGTTAAGATTGATATAGCTACATCATGTGATGACTTGATCATTGAGAGCATTGAGCAAGGTTCTAGTAGCAAGGGCAAGCAAGTGGTTGAGGCCGATGATTATGATGAGTTTGTCAAGCTAAAGAATGACAATGCAAAGCTCAAGAAAGATCTTAAAGAAATCAAAAGTCACAACACCATTGTGCTAGAAACCCTTGATCATGATGGTGACTTGATCCTTGAGAATGAGAAGCTCAAAGAGGAAAACAAGAAGCTCAAGGAAGAGAAGAATAATGATGCTCTTAAGGAAGAGAACAAGAAGCTTAAGTTAAAGAAAGAGCATCTCAAGGTTGGATTGAGCAAGTTCACAAGAGGCAAATATCTTCAAAGTGAGCTACTTATGAACACCGTCATGAAGATGGATAGAAGTGGCATTGGATATGTGGCACATGTAGAGAAGAAAAAGGCTCAAGTTCAACAACAACAATCAAAGCCAAAGC